GTCATTAAGTAAATCCATTCTGATTTCAATGACATAAATCTTTGGGAAACAAATCACTCCTTTAGATTAGGTGAATTATGGCATATACATTTAAATTAAATGAAATTGAGATATAAAATTCATCTCTGCTTTATACTGTACACCAGAAATTGACACATTGTAACTGACTATACTTCAATTAAAAAAAGTAAATTCACCTCTATGGGCTGCAGGCTCTATTATGATATAGTACTACAGAAGCGTAACAGTGGATAAGTATTAACAGCGGAAAAGTACTAATGTATACAGTTAATGTTGCAGTAGAAAGCTTGACTTTGATATTTTTATTTAAAAATTCATTAGAATTAGTTAATCAAAGTTGTAACTGCATGTGCTAGAAAATTCTGATGGTCTCGAAGTGCTTGTAATGGAAGCTCTAAAGAGCTCCTCCCTGCTCCAGCCCTGTTCCTCCCAAGTCATATTTAACCATTTCTAGTCTCAGATCATTGGTTAGACCGTATTTCTAGACCCTCATCTTATGCTGTTCCTTCTTGGTTTTCAACCTCAGTTGTTCCCAGTGCCGACTTGCTGTCACTGGATTTAGCTCATTGTCCCCCTCACCCCCATGCCCGTTTTTCAACAGCAATATCACTAATTTAGTTCCTCTCTTGGTGACTATTAAGCCTTTTAAAACTGTATATTTAGACTTCTGTTTATCATTTGATCAACTCTTTTTTAATAACTTTTTTTTAAATTACTAGGGGGACGATATAATTAGGTTTTTATTTATTAATCTTTAATGGGGGTGCTGGGGATTGAACCCAGGACCTCATGCACACTAGGCATGTGCCCTACCACTAAGCTGTGCCCTCCCTACTGTTTTTAGTCTTGATAGCATTTGCTAATGTTTCCCTGACTTAGCTTTCTCCTCTCACCTCTGCTCTGAGACTCATTCCTTTACTAGCTTCACTCCCGCCCACTCTTTTTTTTTTAATTCAGGTTTATTGAAGAATCATATGCAAACAATAGAATAGCTTTTGAAAGCCCAGATCTGATCATCTCTGCACCCTGACTGTTCTGCTGCTGCAGGATACCGCCCAGACCTGCCCTGCCAGCTGCCCTCGCCTTCCCGCCGGCTCTCCCCAGCCAGCCCCTGACCTCCAGGTCTCCTGGCTGCAAGCTGGGCCCAGAACATGCCAACAACGGCCTTCCGGTCACGTCCGTTCTGGGCGGCTTTCCTTGACATTCCTCATCAGCCTTCACAGGGTTACTCTCTGCGTCTCTGCGCTTTCTTCGCCCCTATTGTGTGAGCAGCCTTGTGAGCACAGAGGCTGTGGGTCCTTCAACTGTCTCCCTCCCACTCTCTCTCTCTCTCTCTCCTTCTCTCTCGCTCTCGACCTCATGTTGATTTTGGCTTCAGGTAGGATCTTAAGTGTTTGCTAAACTGAATTAAATACTTCAAAGATCTGATAGCCTTCATGAAGCCCTTCGTTAAAGTTTCTTTATGAATTGTTGGCCCCTTTAAGGCCCAGTACCCAGAGGCAAATTGAAATTAGAGCTGGAGCAGTTATCCTAGGAAGCCTGGCAAGGACGTTTCTCCAGACCCCGGTCTAGAGACTGATGTGTTTTCTGAGCCCGCAGAACCCCATGGCGGGTGTTAGCTTCCCGCCGTGTTGGAGGTGGGCATCTGCTTCTGCCTGGATGCCCCGACCTTGGCGGCTGTGTGGTCCGGCCAGCCTTCCCTCTCTTCTCCGCCCTTTTCAAGGTAATGTTTGTTGGCTCCCCCACCTCCTCCCTATTAGCCTCCAAAGCATAGAAGTTTTACATTTTTAATTCTCCTCTCCTCCCCTCCTTTTTTTCCCCCTGATCTCACACACTTGGGGAATAACTAGTCATCGGTGGTCTGGTGGTCATGGCGGTGTTCCCACTCAGGTCTCTCCCAGTTACAGTCTGCTGTATGCACCCACCCGCGACCCCAGATTGTGCCCCCGCCCGTTGTCTGCAGAAGTGATCTACACATCATTTAACCAGCATCACAAACAACTGATGGAACTGCCTCAAATAAGTGTGCAACCTCACTTACTATCATGGTGCGTCAGGGCCATGAAAACGCACCTTTGAGATAAGCCCGCTGTACAACTCCCAACTATTACAGCAAATCTCTTCTCTGTGGGAATCCTATAGCTT